ACCATGTGCAAGTGAGATTCCCATGGGCTGTTGGTTGGTCGAATGATTTCTAATTCTATCATGTAATCTAATTCGTTTTTAGCTAACCTCAGCTTCTCGGGAGCTAGTCGATGCGCCTTCAAGAATACAGGTGGTCCTGAAGTCGTGATGTGGTGTGCAACATTGCTGGTTATGCATTGCGATTTCGGTCGCGTTCCGTGGGATGCTGATCTATAAAATAGATTTCCTGACTATTTTTCCAAGCAGGATGAATTTTCCACTATTTCTGATGGTATTTTCTGTTTAAATGGTTGTGTTGTTATTCGTCCTTTATTACGCAAGTATGACCTTGAAAATCTTCACAGTGCACATTCAGTTGTTGAGAAAATGAAATCCTTGGTGAGGCTCACATGTTGATGGCCGGAGATAAATGCAGATGTACATCGTATAGCAAATAATTGCGAAATATATCATACGCCCAAAAAATCATCCTTTGGATGGGACTCCAAAGTCAGTATCCTCTGTGGCCTGGAAGATAATTCATGAAGACTATTGTGGTCTATTTCTCGCCAAATACTATGCACTTATCATTGATTCCTTCCCTAAGTGGCCTAAAGATTTTTCACAACTTCACCAAATACTGACAGCGCAATCAAAGGGATAAAAAGTTTTTAATCGTGCGTCCATATGGTACTAGTGACCAACAATGGCTTTTATTTCGCTGTCTAGATGAGTGGTATAGAGTTTAAATATCTGTTCACTGCTCCCCGACATCCTTGTTCTAAAGGTTAGGGAAGACGTTTCTTCAAGACATTAATCTGGTATTCATTTCGTTGCTGCCTCAAAATTTGATCACCTGGAAAAAGGAATTCAAATTCCTAATGCAATGCAGAAATGCTAAACATTTTGTGGCGAAAGATACTTTATTAAAATTATCAAACGGAAGAATTCTCCATTCAAATACGAGATGTTTAGAGTCCAAAAAAGTTACTTGAAGTTGTGGTTTGCTCAACTAGAGGAGGAAGTAACAACAAGATATTTGATCTTCGACACTGTGTTTATCAAGGAGTCTCCAATGGCACAAGCATTATGGGATCCCAAAATAGAGTATAGGTTCTGTCCATGTCTCAAGGTAAAGTTAACAGCTTGACATTTAGATGGATTGAGTAAGAGACAATTACCAACAGACCACCTTTCAATAATAGATAAAAACTCATTCATTTCTATGGGATATAAGGAGGTAGAAATCGACATACATACAGTGAGGTCGTCCGCATATTTTACAAGTGTTTTTTGTGGAAGATGGCAGATTATGCAGAAAAAAAGAGAAGAGCGGAGGTGAAGGAACAGCTCCTTGTGGCACACCTACAGTAGAGATGTTGAACACTTTCCTTCAAATGTAGTGTAATGTTCTCCGCCAGAAAGGTAGGAACATAGCCAATCGGTTATCCAGCTATGGGTCTAAGTTTCACATTTTTATCACCAGATAATTTCTTTGATATAGGGATTATCTTTATCTTTCTCCACATGTTCGGTAAGACATCAGTTGAGAAGGATCTGTTAAAGATATACGTTAATGGATAACATAAAACATTAGCACATTTTATAAAAAGGAGGTTCGGGATACTATAAGGTCCTAAACATTGGGATGAATTAAGTGACTGGAGACATTTTCGGACATCATTTTCAATGAAACTGGAAACAATTATTCTTCAAACCCTTGGATATAGGAAGCATGATGTCAGATGACTGACGTATAAAGGACTTATTTAAGTCACAAACATTTAGCTGGTTATCGCTTCTAGTCTGCCTGTCCCCTGTAATTTCTTTAAAGAGTTTCCACATACTTGGAGAGCTTTTACAGGATAGTTTTTGAATAATTACAAAGTTGAGACGTCTAATCTCTAGGTTTATTAAACCATTTACCTTATGAACTTCACTAGTGTTTTTTTCTTCGTACATTATTTCTTTTACCCTCTGTAGTCGTTTTAGTTGTGGAGATGTAAGTCGATCAAAACTTAAAAATAAGGTTTCGGTAGGACAGCAAACATCAAAACGGAATTTAAGATAACAGGTGATAACATCAGTGGTGTTTTCTAGTTAGTCATCTGTAAATAAATCCCAGTTGGTAGTACGAAACATGTTTTTCAGATTTTGCATATTTTCTTATGAGCAATTCATATATATCACTTTTTTGGTATGGTGTATGTGTGTACTCTTTCCATTCAAATGAGTAGGAAGATCTACTACAGTTAGGTGATCTAGTGATGTAAGGAAGCTACAGTCACATGGATTGAAATCACCACATACAATTGAAAGTGAACCACTGAAGGCAGTAACGGTGAATTCAGTAAATTTATCAGCGAAGACAGATAGCGCAGATGATGTGCAGTTTGGAGTCATGTAGTTATTGGTAACATAAATATATTTGTATTTATCCAGGTGTTTTGGACGGCACCTTAAAGTTAGACAGTCAATAAAGTCATTTGAAAACTTGAAACGGGCAAAAGTAGATCGACACCAGTTAACGTTTACAAACGTAGCTACTCCGCCACCACAAGTCTTTCTATTGTTTGATCGATCCTGACGATAGATATTAAAATCACGTGATGACACTAAGCAATCATCCTGTAAGTCAATTAACCAATTACGATACATGTTTTGGAGATAGTCCAATTTGTTAATTAGTTATCGACAGTTAGAATTAAGCAGCTCGGGAATCGACATTTGATTAATGTTCATTCTCTTTAAAGCATATTGCCAACCACCACGATGTCTCTTATTGTACTTCTTTGTAATGTTTGCAGCGAAAGGACGTAAGCTTTTCATAAACGCACCTGTATAGGTTATGCGATTAATAGACATAATGAAAAGTTAAAACAAATTAAAACCCAGATAACTTGTTGAAATATTTAGATGGCAGAAACAGGTAGCCCACGTATTCAAGCAGGTCGCTTTCATTTGTTTTATGCCCCTCCTATCAGTTGTCAAAGTTTTTGATTTAACACAGAGTCCCTACATATAGACATTGTGTACAACCATAATGAGTGAACCGTCGAAGAATCCAAAAACGTTTCAACGGAGAGACTTCAGGTGGCAGGTTACCACACCAATTCCTACGTTACCCTTAATATTTGGTAGGCAACAACACTGTGGTTAAGGCAGTCCTAGGCACTGAACACACTAGGTCCTGACACTCCCACCAACCGAATAGTATACGATAAACAAAACACAAAGCAGAATCATCGAAAGACCCAGTCATAACAGAACTCATTGGAATCATCAAAAGTATCTTAAAGACTGTGACTAACAAGTAAATAGATAATAGAAGACGGTGTAAATTATGACAGTTCCAGCAGTCTTGTTGGTACCACTGGAAATTTTATGAAAAATTAACTTAATACAGTCGACTATGCACCTGGCCTAAAGAAACTTTTGAGAATGTGGAAAACGAAAAAATCTCCGTCGGGTGTTACAATTGTGGAGGGATCCATATATAGTCACTTATTTTACGTTAGAGAAAGTAATTATAGTATGAATTTTCTAGTGGATATTGGTGCGGTGCATAGTACCATAACCAGAATAATATCGGTCCGGGACGACAAACCACCTCAGTTACGCTTCACTGTTTATACCAATTAATTCAAGTTTTTGCGTTTACTAAGCTTAATTGTGATGACTCTTATATTTTGCGATAATAGTTACCGTTTCAAATGTCAACATTCATTGACCTTTCAGAGATACTAGCTGTAAGATTAGTGAACCATTCTTCCAAGCATATATCAACACGAACAAACGCTACCGACGCCTCACGAATCGAGATTTTTAAGTATTTCTCAAATCTACCATAATAATAGTACGGTTTTATTGGTAACAAGCCATTGTTTACTCACGCTTGTGGACCCTCGTCGGAGTGAAGGCCGCACACCGGCATTCTCCATCCAACTCGGTCCCGACCAAGCCTCCCCAGTTGCTATTCATACTTTTAATATCTGCTCCCGATTCCCAACACACTGTATTCTCTGGTCATCTTCCATTCGATATCACTGCAGGATTGAAAGGTAAGGCTTGTCTCGTGATGCAGGTTGGTGATTTCTGCAATGTATGTCCTATCCATCTTCAGCATTTTATCCCGATTTCCTCCTCAGCTGGAACCTGATGGTTTGTTCTCTCCATAAAACTCCGTTGTTGATGGTATTTAGCCAACTGACATTGAGTATCTTGCATAGACAACTATTTATAAATACATGTATCTTTTTGATGATGGTTCTAGTAGTTCTCCACGTTTCAGCTCCGTACAGTAGGACTGTCTTGATGTTCGTATTGGAGATTCTGACTTCAATATTAGTTGACGGTTGCTTTGAGTTCCACATGCTCTTCAACTGTAGGAGTGCCGCCCTTGCTTTGCCAATCATCGCCTTTACATCTGCATCGGATCTTCTTTGTTCATCGATGATACTGACCAGGTACGTGAGAGTTCCCACATGATCCAGAGCTTCTCCATCAAACGTGGTTGGGTTGGTGTTCTCTGTGTTGTATTTGAAGATCTTAGTTTTTACCTTGTGTATGTTGAGGCCCACTGATGCAGAGGCTGCTGCTACACTAGATTTCTTTATCTGCATTTGTTCGTGTGTATGGGATAGAAGGGCCAGGTCATTTGTGAAGTCCAAATCATCTAGCTGCATTCAAGCTGTCCATTGTATTTTCTGCTTCCGCATTGTTTAGGATTTTGGTTTTCCACACAGAGTTGACTCGTTTGGTCAAATGATTCAAAACGGTTACCAACTCGTTCGTAATCGAATCTAGAAATGATATAATTCAAATCCAAAATCAAAGTTTCTTTAACAGTTTCAAGTTATGCTCATTAGGTTACCTCAGTCGCCTATGATAAAAGTAAATGTTATTTAGAAAACTTTAGATGAAGAAAACACTCATTTTTACAAGCAACCTGAAAGATTCAGTCGTTGTGAACCATTGAAACTTGAGACCAACCAGGAGGATACTCAAAGTAGGAAGACATAAAAAAAAGTGTAATTGTATTTCATGTAAAAATGAATTACTGTGGTGAAATATAATATTAAACAGTCTTTTAAAAGTTACATTTATATCTGATTCATCCGAACAGAATGATAATCGAGTAGCAAAGGAGAATGTATTACAGCATCCCACATTTTATGAACATATGTTATCCTAAATAAAAAGTACGTTTTATAGGGTAAGGGAAAATAAAACCTACCATTTCTTCTCCGTGAAATTAGGCATCATATGTTGTCGAGGTGTAGAGAAAACCGCTTCTTGTAAAATACGGGCTGATGTCAGGTATGTTGGACACCCTAACGGCGAATGTCCTAAAATGTGGGCAAATGGAGAAATTAAGAAAAATTAAAGAGTCTTATTTGCACATACTCGAATCGTACGATAGTTAAAATACTTTATTTAGCCAAACTTAAACAACATAAAACCTATGTTGATTTCCTTAATGATGGATATTCAAAACTAAACTAATACATCGATAATGGATAACTCATCATCAATTCTATTTCTTTTAATGACTGAGGTGCATTACCCGAAACGGATTAAAGTATGTGTAGACAAAATTAGGGTTGTGAAAGGCTATCATCTACACAAATCAAATCAACTTCTTTAACTATTAAAATTTTCTATAAACTGTTGAGTAGTCCAAAATTCACTAAGAAAGTCCCTAAAAGCCAGAAAAAAAAGCTAAAAATATTTCGTCCAATCAACATCGAATGGAAACTCCGGAAGAGCTAATGATATGTCGAAATTCGACAGATTAATTACTTGCTTCGCTAATAACTTTAATGTATCACAGGAAGATCCTAAAAGATCAACGCTACCCATAAACCTACAAATAACTTTGTTCTCTACACACAAATTAATCTAGAAGTAAAGTTTCTATCCTTACTTCGCCCCTTTTATCTACTCTTAGGGGCTCAAGTCTACGAGTATCTGAGAAACCTAGAAAGATGATAGGGTGTTGGCATCAAGCATTTGAGTAACAGACAAATAATTCATGATATTTAATTTGGATTAGAGCTTGGAAATCTATAAAAAGGTGTAGCGACTTTACAGAATAGGGATATATATCTGTAGCCCAGTTATTGCAGCATTTGAAGTGATATTCAGTCGTCAATGTTCGATTTGAAATAGCTAAATTCAGCTCCGGATTTGTAAATCCAGTACACAAGATACTGAGACATAGCATATATATATATATATATATATATATATTACATCGCACATGTTTCCATTTCGAAAATGGTTATTTTTAGTATATTAACCTAACAACTAACCTTCATCGTCAACTTCTGGTATCAAGAACAATCTTGGTTGATTTAACCGCTTTTGAACATCGAAAAAGTTACACCTGGTAGTTTGTACATCATGATACATTTGAACAAGACTGGCATTCAACTTTTCACCATTAATACCAGGTATATGTAATAAATCATTATCGAACAACTGACCTTCGACCGGTAATGTTCCCGATCGTTTTTCTACAATCTCCTTGTGATGGTCAACACCAGTGGATAAGTTAGTGTGTTTTAAAATAGAATTGAGTTCATCTTCTACATTGTGCAAAACATTGCAACACTGTGATACTATCTCTGATTCTGATAAGCCAAATTTTCTAACACAATTATTACCATTATTGTTACTGTTATCCAAGGGAATGTACCTGCAAAAATTGTGAAATGTGAAAAAAATTAAACAAAGCAAAAGCGAGATTTGCAGAATACAATGAACATATTGCACATATTCGCTTGCTGTTCAGCTACATACAAGATAATTAGTTAAATCAGTTTAAAACGTTTATTTATTTATTTAAACATATAAACATTGGTAAGAGGAGGCACCAAATAGATATGCGCCATATAAACCATTCTATTTGTATGAAGGCTGGGATACTGCTCGGGTTCCCAAACCGAAGCAGGTGATTTTCTTCGGAGGTCACACCCCGAGCCTTTGACCTAAAGATTTAATCCATAAGGCAGTGGAACAACGTAAGGAAACGCCGTCCCATGATAGCCGGTGACCAACCATAGGTTCATACGCCATTTGCTTCCTTAGGATCCTGGAGCCCATGTGCACCACTGGTTCGGAATCAAGGTTTTCCAACTACCCTACGTGGATTCTCTATATTCACCAACCCAATTAAAACGCCAGACATTCGCTTTTCGTCCTCTCAATTTCGTAAACAACAGTAATGCTGCAAGAAGGCAGTGAGTAGGACTTCCTTGTCAGTGGTTGTATTCACGTGGCCATGTGAGAGCAATTTGAGAGGAAGAGCTGACTCTCCCAGTCCTGCTAACCAAAGAGAAAAGACTTAGCTCAGATGAAGGAAAGGTATATTCCACAAGCACCCAAAAGCACGAACAACAGCAAGCACACAAATCAAATGTCTATATACGACATAAAAATGTCTTTGGGAAACGTCAAAAAATAACATTAAAAAAGGGAAGCGAACTAATGACATTTACGGTCATAATTTGAAAACACGTACGGTATTGAAGTTCGGTACATTTCTAGAACATACTACTACTGCTTTGAATTATCCTCCTTAGTTATTTAGTGAGGATAAGGCTGATTTTCCAACAAAAAGGATCTTATGATATATTGTAACAGTAACTCGATGAAAAACCATCAATTGATGACTAGAAAGAAAAACCTATTTAGTGATGGTTATATAATTTAGTCCATAATCTATTAATCACATGACTGTAGTATGTTATCAGTCATAAGATCTCAATAAAGATTGCTTCTATAAGGTGATAATTATTTTTATATTGTTAGTGTTAGACAAAACAACGAGAATATTTAACAACTAGCAAAAAATGTTTCTTATTCAGCATATAAGGAAACAACGCCCAAATGATTAAAATTATATAAATTAATCCGAGATAAACTAACCCATCAGGTTTTTCACCAGGAAAAGGCTTTGATTTTTCTTGAATTGTATTTATTGAAGTTAAACAGTGTGTCGGATCTTGAGAATGTAAAATAATAATGAACATAAATCTCACTTGATTTTTTTAAATTGAAATGTAGCGTTTTTAATGAAAAAACGATGAACATGTTACAACGCGGCAATATAGGCGTCAGTATCTGTTATACATTATGAGTAAAAACTTAAATCTTTGGTAAAAATAATTATGCTTGAACTGCGAAATGAACCTATGAGTTATCTACTTAAAGGGTTAGACCAAGAATAATTTATTAGAATGTTTGAACTCTATCTCTAATAGGCAATAAATGCGATTTGGAGTCTAGTCCGTTGATTTCTACCATAATTAATGAGTGCCCCTTGGATATATATATATAATCAGACAGTGACCAATTGATCTTTGTTGCTATTTCCATCCCGTCAAACTAATCTGGTATGTTCAATTGGGCCAATGAATAAGTGTGTCCGGTTCTATGTTGATGTCTGTCAAATTATCAAGCTAATTATTAATATGTGAAAATGAAGTTATCAAAAATGGTGTTTCTAGACGAAGATGAAAGTACAGACATTTTCCCTATTAAATAGGATTTCCTGCTAGATTTTAGTTTTAAACTGAAAATGTTATATTACAAACAACGCCTGCCAACAAATCAGGCTATCTTTTAGGAACATGGATAAATTATAAAATACAGAAGTTTTTCGTATTATATTTGATGGTGAACTTACTATGAATGTATCACATTTACTGAGTATCGAGTCGCATACTTGGCTTTAAAATGGACTAGATATTAGAGCTTGTAATAATGCCACTCGGTCCATCAATTCAAAATGGGCGGAGTGGGACTCCAACCTACAGACTGGTGGTTTAAACATGAAAACCAAACTACCATAATCCACCTCTCTACTTTGGAATGAGAAACTATATTAGAAATTGCGTATAACCCAGATATACTATTAATTTCATTAATGTTGAACTACTATTATTAATTTGTTTTGATGTTGAAGACAATATTAGTAGGATAACAACTTCCAACTGTATTATTTCTCTATGGTGAATAAAGATTGAGAGTGTAAGTTGTCATTCTTAAAGTAAATATTTTTGAGATGGTTTAGATGCATTTTTTAAAACCGTAACTGGCAACGTTGTTCCCTAATAGTCAATTGGCCTCACTTATCATTACATTTTATTACAGTCGTCAAAAATTCAGCGAATTAGTTCCATGTGTACTAATTAGGACATAGATTTCTAGGAAAATTTAATATGTTGATTAATATCAATCGAAGCCTATGAGAAGTTCGTTTGCATTAAACAGTTATCCTAGTTTAAATACTGATGATAAGTTTTGAAAAAGACAGTCTTACATAATAATGAAACCTTTTTAAGTACTCGTGTAAGATTTTTTCCAAAAGACTCGTATATGGTGGACGCTACACTTAAGGTTGCTTGTAAGTAATATGTAAAGGAACGTGTCGTCGAAGTTATCACAATCGCCAGACTGTGAGAAGAGTTTCAATACATCGAAAGCATGATGTAGGAAGAACACTTGATGGTCAGACGAGAAAACAGTTTGGATTGCAGAACACACCACAAGATGCAAATGGATGATCGAAGGTTATGTATAAGTAATATATAAACCCTTTGTAATTTCTATCTAAAATTAATCTTGTTACCGATTGTTCTGTTCTGAAATACTTCCCACTATATGAATGAATGTTAAATCAAATTGTTCGTGCTAATTTCTTGAAATGAGTATAATCACACTTTTGTTTTAAAGTAAATATGGTCATTAACCACTTTGTAAGAAGTCTAATTTAACTCCTTCAACAAACACACATTCTGGTATACAACTTTAAATCACACTGTTTGTGTAGAGGTTAGTGATATTAGTCGGTTGTCCAAAGCGAAGTAGATAGAACTATGTTCGGACCTCTGATCTGCTTGTTGAAGGCTGGATGTTTCATCATCTAAACCACCGCTCTGTTAAAAATAAGGGTATCAACATCGAGTGTATTAGATAAGAATATTTACCTAGGGACCGTCAAATACCCTATGAGATTATTACTTATTATTTAAACACATAAACATTGGCAAAAAGGGGAACTCAAATACATCTGCAGTACACAAATTTGTGACGGTCGGGATACTGCCCGGTTCCCCGAACCGAAGCTGGTGGCTTTTCTAAGAGGACCATCTGCCGAGCCTTTGACCTGGAGGTCCGACCCACATGGCAGTGGAGGAACGTTAAAGGATGAGGTCCCATGGTACCCGGTGACCAATAGGTCCCCTATAACATTTTGTGCAGCATTATTCATAATAATAGAAATTACTCCCTTGATTTAAATTCTATGGCGTCTATAAATCTCTGGACAAGAACTTTACTAAACTTCTATAGTAAATTTGGGTTGAAAGAAAACTACAAACATATGTAGTTTAATAAAAACTGAAAACTATTAATCAGAAAAAACACGAAGTATAAACTTACTAGATTTTGACTGATTATCAACTTGCACTGAAATTAATGTTTCTGCGCTGATATTTGAAGGCTTTTGTGATGATGATGCAAGTCCTTTGTCTGATGAAGCTGATGACGGTTCGGAAAGTCCTGATGGAGTAGGTAGGACAGAATTCTCCTGAGTATCAAGAAAACCTGAATAATCTTGTGCGACAAAATTGTCAGGAACTAAACGATTTTCTGAACTGTTTTTAGTTAGCTTTATGTCAGTATTGTTTTGATTTATTTCAGTACGAGTATCATTTTGTGCAGAGTTTTGACGTGCAGTTGTAGGCTGATCACGATTTCGTGACTGGAGGTGAGAGGATAAAACTCTTGGACCAACAGTAACAAGTGATACTAACCTTCTATACTCCGGGTACATAAGTGGTAGTATTTTATTTCTATACCTATCTAATTTTTCACATACAACCGGGTCAAGAAATGCAGCTGCTGGAGCCTGATTATATACATGAATTAATGAAGCTGAATAATCAGTTAAATCTGTTCAATAAAAAAAGAAATACATCAAGGGAAAGTAGATTAATATGACTACAAATGAGTTGAAGTAAATGAAAGATCTTGAGAGGTTTTACATAATTGATAGAATTAAAATCAAGCAAACATCTTTGAAACCAGACTGATTTTTATGAATGATAAAATTTTTCGATTAAGGTAATCAAAATTTCATGAATGTTATTTTAAAATTTCTCTCAAAAAATTAAAGTTTTATAAACAAATAAAATCAATAAAATAACCCATTGATTGTGTCGTTGAATAAGAATACAAAGAATTCAGTGAAAATGTTTCTTTTCGACAAAATCATATATGTCATATTTTTTTATGAATCCGTACTGAAATTTTGTCAGACACCAACCCATTAGGGTGGATCAGACTTCCAAGGTAAGCGTTGTCAACGCGTTCGACTAATTCACTCCCTATTCTTAGTTCAGGTGTTGACACAGGCCAGTCCTGGAGAAACAATTTACATTTAGAGGGAGAGAAACGCATTCTAAACATCCTTGCATTGTTACTCAGTGCTATCAAAACACTCTGCATTTTATCAGCGTCTTCACCAAACAGGACTATATCATCTGTGTATTCTAAATCGATAAGTGTATCTCCTGGTAGGAGGTCAATGCCCGAAAATTCACTTGACGAAAACGTTATTTCCAGCAGTAGGTCTATGATGAAGTTAAACAAAAATGGAGAGAGTGGGCAGCCTTGTCGGACACCACTTGAAGTTGTAAAATCAGATGACAGTTCACCATAACTTCAAGTTTCTATCATATTTATATATTCTTAGTTAGAATTGATTAGAGATTTCAACTTAAAATATATTGTATCAGGATTTGGGAATCGTTTTCGCAAGTAAATTATCAATTTGTCAACATCAGTAATAACTAGTATTTATTTTTTTAAAAATTGATTTAGCAGTCGTAATAGTCAATATAATTTATTTAAATATATAGTTTATCATTGCACAAACAAGAATAAATTACAAAATGTGTATACACATTAACTTACTTATCAGTCGATTAATTGCATTTGAAACATCTTTAGACTCAGCTTCAGAAGAATGAAGATATTGCCCAAGAATGTTATTTGATGTGGAATAATTCCCAATAAATTGTTGCTGTTCAGACAAAGATGAAATATCAACATCTTCAACTTCCAAACTTTTATTATCTTTGTTGATAATCGATGGATTAGTTTTATTTAAATTAGAAATTTGTAAACCTTGTACACTAGTTGTTAAATTTTTTATATCTGTACAATTCTTAGCATTATCTGATGACTTTTTCTGCACATCAGAATGTTGACGACCACGTAAGGTATGGATTGGTATGGCATTCGGTGTAAAGACAGTTGGTTTAAGACCTATTGCTCTATCGATTAACCGGTGTAACTGAGTTGAGGCAGTAGTTAAATTATCACTAACAACAAGTACAACATGGCATACATTTATTAAGAAGGCGACAATCTAGAATTTAAAACAAAAATATATCAAACGAAAAATACAATGATCACATCATTTAAACTCGGTAGTGCATTGATTTACCCATAAGATAGTGCAAGACAAAGAATTAATCATATAGTGGTAACATGCTTCACGTACATAATGTATACACAAGTATGTCGATAAACAGAATACATTTCATAAAGGTGAGTATAATACATCTTGTCATAAGAAACACTCATTAAATTAATGATGATATGACAAAGCTAACGTTTACCAAGCTAAATTGAGCTAATAGATATGGTAACCGTACCATGATAAAACTGTTCATAGATCCGGTCATGTATACTGAAAACATCAATGGGAATGTGAATAATGGATTGAAAAGGTAGATATACAACATGTAAACCGATTCCCATTTCAAATGTTAAAGATTTTAAGACAAATCATTTTTTGTGAATATTATTATTCTGTAGTTAGAAGTTTTCCATTGATTTATTTACTCAGTTGAACCATTTCAGAAGTACCCACTGATGCAGATACTATTCAACATAGAAAAAGTAAAAAAAGACATGAACTGAATAGTAAGTTTTGTTAGTTTTAAATGGCAAACTTATGCTGACACATGTATAAATCTGGTAATTATTCACGAGATATTTTTTCTACTTTAGCAAACTAGTAGATAAGTAACAAAACTCATTGCAAAGAGAAATGTTATTAAAGCGTGACATGTGAAGAGGATGTAAACAAATGAAAACGGTGGAAAACTGTGAAAAAACTAGAGCCATAAAACAATAACAGGAATATACCTGATTCATTATAAACAGAAGACTGTTTTGTGTTATGAAATATTGGATGTATCATGTCTGAGAGAAGATATTATATTCTTACGTCTATAAAATTTTAAATGACAAATAAGAAACTTTCACCGTTTTACATACGAACTTCAAGGCAATATCCTGATGTAATGACGGCGTTTTTAGTCGGAAAGTGCTCGGAGTTTTACTGGGGAAAACGAAAAACGGGCATTTGTACTGAGAACTAAATGCATTTAAAGATTATTATTGTTGACTATATGACAAACTGCTTGTGTATAACTGAACAGTCAATAAACGAGAACATTTACATAGATATAACAATGCATATCCATTAATTAGTTTCAAATGCAAAGAGAAATACGATAACAGCACGGTATTGTTAATTTTACTCCTCTACGAAAGATAGGGTATTTTTGTACAAATGGATATATTTAGAAAAAAAGTTAGATTAATGACATTCTAACACATCAACTGAATAGATCTACTAAAATGAAGTCTAATGCCACTGAATAATATGTTATGTCAATCAACCCTATAATGATGCAGCAAATCAAGGATGTTATCAATGATAGGTGCAACAGCTTGTGAGTAGCACTCCAATTGCTCCTGTGTAGCTAGCTTTATAGGTCATACCCAAAATAGGCTCATTCCATACGCAATTCGATTAATATTATTAGCATATGCAATAAACGTTTGTCCACTGCTCCGTTCATGCACATCTTTGCCAATCCCTTTCAATGACATATTCTTAACCTCACATTCATCTTTCTTAATTTACATAACATTTTTATTATTACCATGAGTACTATTAATAATATCATCGAAATACCTACGACATGACATCTATTCTATTTTATACGGCTGCTTAGCAATTACGACAACTGATGAGAAATATACTGCTCTCAACTTTTAACATCCAACAAATTAACCATAGTTTTTATATGTATGCCTTAATAAACCACACAATGTAAAATAAAATTTGTGGATTTATAAGTGAACAACTTAAAGAGAAGTTTACTTACAAAGACTACTTGCTCAAATATTCTCTAATTTTAAGTATTCTATGGGGACGTTAATTTACTAACGAATAAAAACTTTAAGATAATAACTTTATATGAAAATGGAATGCACGAAAGAACAAGTATTCACAGGCAGCCGCTAAATTATCGAACTTTTCGGTGATCCTGTTCTCTGAGCTGGATGGTTTGGTCGTGGAGCTCGATCTTGAGGTCTACAGGAAAAGCTGTGAGTCATATGTGAATAAATTCGAACACTTCACTTCTACCTATATTTTGCGCTGATGATGTCGTTCAGAATAACGATGGGAGCTCAAGGACTAAACTATCCAGCTCAGAGAACAAAACTCCACCAAAATCATCCACCTGAGCTACGGATCCTCTCCATCTCAAATTGCGGAACATTTGTATGAACCAATTTATTTGGCAAAAGAGTTCTTTTCGATAAGTAAATTGTTTTACAAGTTAACAGTTATATTTAAGTTGATTTATATAAATTTAACTGACCTGCATAGAAGCCATTTCAGCCCAAACATCCATGTTCCAATTACCAGGACCTATAAGAGATGAAAGTCCTGGATGAGCACTCGAGGACGAAGACGTTATATTACCAGTAGCAACCAAGTGAGTGTGATAGTTGGTGAGTGCGAATGAAAGAAGAGGCTAACAAAACGGAATATTACAAAGGAAATACCGTTAAGAATAACAATCTTTAAATTATATAATGAGTAGATTATAACATATGTATCATAAAAACTTGATATTTTATCTTATTATTATAGGAAGGGGGAGAATACATTTCCTAACGATTTTATTTCCTTATCAGTGTGCTGCACCCTTGTTTTTAGTACCCATTTGTACCAATACTTGTGCGTTAAACAAATCAAATGAATAAATTTATCACTCCCAGCTATAGAGTGGTAAATGCGTCAATTACTGAACGTAATTGACGCATAATACTTATATACACATAATACTTATACTCTTACTACTTCCACCAATATGGGATTTGAATCGACAACTTCATCTCTGTGCTAATGTGGTATGGCAACTCGAACTGATGTACGTACGTACGAAATTCTACGTTGTAACTGACTGACTGACAATTACTGAAAATACATGGGTGTACAACAGGAAATATGAGTAGTGCGACTTAGTACAAAAACCCTGCATGAACAAATATTTGAACCACTGAGATATTTAGTTTGACAGAAAACAACCACTATTTTTGAACTGGCGTCTTATTTTGGTTAGTTAGCCACTAAACAGTAGATGTAAAAATGCAATAAAGTAAAGCGACTACGTCAAACAACAATGTTTATACATACAACAAAAACACGAATACAGATCACAGCCCATACATTCAATTTAAACAGAAAAAGTTACTTGAGCATCCAGAAGAATTACACGATCTTGTGTAATATATAGGTTAATACCATCAGTACATGGGCTGTTAGCCACCACGTCTTTGAGAGTTTGAATACTGAAAGGAGCATCAAAAACTCCACAACCGTCAGAAATGCAATTCGCCAAAATATTTAACACGGACGATTTACCTGAACCCTAAATTTGCGAGAGATCAAAATATTTCTGGTTACCTGTAAACCAATGGCACCAACAACAAGAAATCCTGAATTGTCAACAAAAAGGTCTTGAACTGTTGCAAGGTCAACGAACCTTAACTGTTCATCGATGAGTTTGATGGGTACTTGCATAGGATCATCACAGAGAATGTACAATTCATCGGGTTTACTTTCCCCATCGATTAGCTCTTCTTCATCCAATGGGGTAGAGAAGAATTCGATCACACTTTTCATTCTTTCTTTCTAACAATGAAGGATATGTGAGCTAGCACAACGCACCTCCATTCCAACGACAAAATAAGGGAGCGATTAATGCACCTAGTAACTTTTTGCTGAGAGATTAGATAGTAGTTATTAAGGATTTAGTGATATCAATGAATGTTCCAGATATTAGATAAAGCTTTGCTTAACAATGTAAAAGACTATGGAAATACGGTTACAGAAAAACGATAGTTTCGACAGGATAACTGTACCATTGAGTCCCACAATCACTAAGAAAAGCAATCTGAAAATTTCATAATAACTCAAAAACTAAGCGCGAGTTCCTGTACTTAGCTTGAGTGACAATGAGAAGTAATGACACTAGCCAGCCTTTAAATTCAAAGTGCACCAAGACCTGAGGACGAAGCCCAATAAGAGATGTACAGCCGAATCTCCTAGGTTAAAACGGGATTAAGTTTAGAGCACGAATTTAAAAAGATTAAACCACTGACCTAAGATATGTTAAGAGGGATGAGCATATACTCTGACATGAATAATGGGACGAAAAAAATCCTAATATTACGTAAGGTGAGAAACATTTCAGTGTAACCAGTTCCGAACCTTGACCACTTATATTGACGTTATATTTCTTAGGGATAATTCAATTACAAAGAAAATATACTCAACTAGAAGCTTTCAGTAAGTTATTAAAAGTTAGTGGCCTATCTTCAGAGGTACCTGTATGTAGGATAATTATCGATTGAAAACGAAAAATCGACGTCTACTGAGTAGGTCATGTATCACTCACCATGAGCCTTTGGCCATCTTAACGTGAATTCGTCTACACTTGAGTAAAAATGGGGACTAATAAATCTCTCTGGTTCATGTAGTATGAAGGGAATAGGAGTGCTGAGTTATAATTGAGCATTAACGAAAAAAACATGTCGAACATGACACAAAAAAACACTAATGACACTAAGATTGATAAAAGTAGAAGGCATGATATTGACGACAGAAATTAAACGGTGTAAAATCTTTGATTTTCAAGTATGAATGACTCTCATATACGTATGATTTTGGTAAAAATACTGTACTGACGAACTTGAGTGACCAATAAAGGTAAGGATAACGAAAGTGCAAATTGATTGCTACTAAAATTCATGGTTTTCATTACATACGGCAGTTTGGAAAACGTCTCCTCGCAAAATGAGCTCTTAGAGTCAATGTGTTTGGGTTGTGTGTGTCAAGATTGAGTGCTAGAGTTAGCTGTTGTGGTTTGAGGGTTTGAAGGTAAGGAGCTAGAGTTTCGGAATTTCAGGGCAGTTGGAATTTGATAGATTACGAACTAAAAATTAGGGTCTACAATGATAACAGAACTATTATATATAGTCTGAATCTTCAGTTTCCCGAGTTTCGGGACATTTAGCGGTCATGTGAAATTGCCTGTGGAGATTTTATGGTTTGTATCACATTTTTCCAAGGTCGGTAGATTAGGTTATCGATATTTAGTGTTAATAAGTTTAAGTATCGGTCAATAATATATATTATAAACGATCAGACATCTGGTCATCTGCGGCAGAGACTTCCTTATATTCTGGAGATATTAAACGAAAACTGAAATTTGTTTGGTTAACCTGAAGGTCACCCATTAATTCGTCGTACGTCAAGAACCTCCAGCCTCCCTATTATGGGGAAGCCTCAATAGAAGACTTTGAGGAAATGGCACATTTTGGGATTTTCCCCTAAAATATCCCTCGAAATAAGGAGATTAGGTTGACTCATCAAAAAAATTTCACGGCCATATAGGTATGAAATAACTCGTGATTCAAAATATTAGCGAGAGTATACTACAAAAGAAATTCAAAAGAAATGGAGACAAAGACAGAATAGCACTCACAATATCTAGAACGCTTACAAAAATATGATTTGTGAAGTGGACACCGACTGCATTGTAACGCAGTATACGAAAAGCGCGCTTAGAGCCTCGTTGTACTCATTTGGTGAGAAGAAGATAATCTAACTTCAGGCATGCTATATGTTGTTTTTCGAGTATTTTATTAGTGATCTTGGAGATAAATAGTTTTATAAAGAGCAGAGAAACAAGACATCTGTCCATCATAAGTGACAAAAAAGATCAAGAAACATTAAACTTAGATTTTAAATGGTTCAAATGGTTGTGGACGGAAAAGAAGGAGCTTTCGCTTAACAGGCTTCCGTTTCTAGTAGCAGTTGGTCACCAATACCTCCAGGCAGGAACCTAGATATATTAACGAGAATAGGAAAAAAATTGGTAAATAATAGTCAGATGTTATCCTTAGTCTTTAAGAATAGGACACCTACGAAGTCGCTTGAACTGTCTCAGTCGGCAGCAAATTCCAACATTCGACAACTCTTAAGGAATAGAAGTTATGTCTACAATCCCTTCCGCTATGTTGAGTCTCCAGTTTCTGGGTGTCACCCCTTAGTTTAGTATTGTGACTAAGCTTAAATAGATGTTTAAGTGGATGATCAAAAGTCTTAAGGATACTGTATGTCATAAGAAGATCACCTCTAAGACGCCTATACTCTAACGGGTAAAGGTTAAGTGGTTGGAGGCGCTCTTCATAAGGTTTGAATTTGAGTCCTTGAAATCATTTCGTGGCTCGCCGTTGGATACGCTCCATAGTGTCCTTATCCTTTTGGAGTAAGGGAGAAAATACTATGTTTCTGTACAGTAAATGGGGACGAATAAAACTGTTGAAGATTATGTGGAAGTTTATACCGTCAAACTGATCAAAAATGCACTTCAATGTTACCAGCTCAAGGTTTGCTCGAAAGGTGTTTTTGTCACAATTAGAGTAAAACTTCCAGTCGTAGGGTACCAACACTCCTAAATCTTTTTCGACTTGGAATAATTCTGGAAAGGAGTTTACTAAGTTGTAAATGTAGTCTGTAACATGTCGCAGATGGACTATTTTAAACGTTGAAGTGTTGAAGATAAGTCCGTTGTCCAACTATCAAGTCGAGTCAGATCATCCTGAGGTGCCATTATACACTATTGGTCGCGTATCTCTCTCCAATGTTTTACATCATCAGCAAAAAGTAATATGTCAGACGATACTTGTTGTGGAAGATCGTTTAGATAAATCAAGAAGAGAAGAGGTCCTAGTATTGAGCCCTAGGGGACCACACTAGGACATTCCATGGCCTGAGAGAAAGTGAAGTTGACCCTGACCTTAAAATGTCGATTCTTTTAGGTATTAAGTGAGCCAGTCAATTAGAGGTGGTTTGATAAGACATATATGGTTGACCCTATCAAAAGCTTTTGAGAAATCAAGGTAAATAATGTCAATCTTCCCTTTGCGATCAAGGATGCTTGTCCATCTGTCCACCGCAGTCAGCAGGTTGGTTTTATAAGAGTGACCCTTCCTGAAACCATGCTGTTGGGATGAGAAGAACTTTAAGGATAATAAGTAGTCGCGTATACCATCGCTTATCATAACTTTTAAAGGTATAGAGAGAAGGGCCACTGGTTGATAGCTTGAGTGTTCTCTGTGTCGTCCTCCTTTGAAAAGTGGCGTGATGTGAGCTATCTTCCAGGTTTCCAGTAGTCTGCCTTGACTTAACGAGTGTGAGAACATCACGCCAAGCGGTGTTGCCAGGATTGAAGCTGCTTCCATCAGTATAGCAAAATAAACCATATCTGAACCACGAGAAGTGTTTTCTCTTAGGTGCTGCGGTTTACGTAACATCAGGTCGGCGCTCAGGTTCACTTCGGAAAGCCCTGTGCAGTTGCAGATGAAGCATTCATCAGTGCAGTTGATGTGGGTCAATTGAAATGTCCGAGAGTCTTGTCCAGCCAAAAGCTTAGCGGCATCCTCGTCGTTATTAGTCGGACCATTAGGATCTAGCAGTTGGGAAACCCTAGTTTTGGCTTGTTGAAGAGAAGCTGCGTAACGGAATAATCTTTTCGGATTGGAGACAAAGTTTTCGATCAGCTTGCTCTAGTACTGAAGCATGTCTTTTTATTTCCTTTGAACATATATTCCTTATATCTTTGTATTGCCTGTATGCGTCGTTATTGTCAGTTCGTTTATATTCGACCCAGCAGTGCCTTTTGCGGCTTAGCAAACGGCGAGTGTGGTTCTTGATGATTGTAGGTTGCTTGTAGCTTTTAGGAACCGTTTGAGGAACTGAATGCTTAGTAGCACATAAGAGCGTGTGCAGTAAGAAATCCCAGTGAGCATCCACCTGTTGTAGATAGTCCTGTATAGCTAACACATTCAATCGTTTGAAATTCCAGCGCCTGTTGTTGGTAAGATATCTTAGCCCAGTTTTGCTGACAAAACTGAAGGATATAACGGCTTAATCGCTTTTCCCCAGGAGAGGCAGAATTGAGAGGTTGTCGATTACGAATTCTTCATTTGTAAATACCTAGTTTAAACGCGACGGCGTCTGATTTTTTCTCCAACAAGTTGCCGACCTCACATCTTCGAATAATGCAAGACCCTCAATGAGGTTGAAGAACCGAGCTTCAGTAGAGTTGTTACCTTCAATGTAGGTATGTTCCCGTTTTTCTGTGATTGCAAAACTAGGACACCCCAGATATTGCTAGCTCCTGATCCGTAAACTGAGAAGATATCCAAGTTTCAGATATTCCTATCAGATGAGCATTATCAGCGTTGCTGAGTTCACGTAGCTTGCCCATTTTATTTGGTAAACTCGAGGCGTTCATGTATAAGCAGTTTATGCTTTCAATTTGAGACGCGTGAGCTTCTTCCTGTTTGTCTGTATGAGCCTTACGTGAATGGACAGGTAGCCTACCTATACAAGGTTTTCCGAGTTGATAGCACCTGTCAGATACTTTCGTAGATTCGTATCTACAGGCTCTGAAATGTCCGGACACATTGTAAGATTAAAAAGGCGAAAAAAGAGTTGAAAAATGAAGATAGATCAACTTACGAGAAACAACAGGTCCGAGATTCGTAGAGAAATCTAAAGAAGCTTTCATCTTATATGATGAGGGGAATATTGGTAATGGATGGGATTATAATCCCTTTGCTTTGGGAAAATCCGCTGTGATTGGCAAATAATGGTTTCGATAAAACCAGAGCTTCATCAAGGCTCTCTTTATTGACGAAGATGAAAGGACATCGACACGTTCCAAAAAGGGACGTTGTGGTAATTGAAACCAGAAAATTAGTAGTCCTGTGAGATTTCTATATTTGATGCTAACCTAATTAGCTTAACGAACATATCTAGTTGTAGATGCTTGGCCATGCATCTGCACCAGATCGCAAAGTTTGGAAGACAATTGACCCCGAGAGAGGTTATGACCTAAGCTGACTGGCCGTTGAGAAAGATGCGTACTACGGCATGCAAATGTCTGACCAAGAAACTCTAGCTATAGCATGCCCTGTAAAACTAATGAGATTGATTCCAATAATCAAGACCTACAGAACCAGTGATCTTTGAGATCTGTTTGCTCTTGCAGACTATTATTCTCACTCACATGAATGAAACAAAATACCTTTAGAAGTAGGCTTCCATACTTGAACGATCGCTCTATTGAAAAAGATTTGGTCGTTACAAAAGACACGAATATCACAGTAAACGTAATCTTGAAAGACGTAAATAGAAGGTTCAACAAGGTCTTTTACCCAGGTTTCGGATTAAAACTGGGTTATCGAAACAATTGAGTAGCTGGCGATTGAATGTCTGACTTTCTCAGTTATAGGGAGCAAGAAGAGGTAGAACAGTGCTTTATCAACACAAAAATGTGGGTAAAGTGGGCTTGTTGAAGAAACAATCCTAGAACTCCCCCTATATTTCCCTACGTAAATGAAATGCCAAGTGTTGCAGTCATATATCTTATTGTTTCAGTGTGTTGAAATCAAAATACGAAGATGCATATAATACGTGCCTAATAAGATAGTATAATGAGAAGAAAGGAGGTCTGATCAAATGTGAGAATCACAAAGACACCACACTATTATCAGTACCAGGAAAAAGTTTTCAACAGAGTGTTGATGAGTCAAATAAATGACTCAGTAGACGGCAAACTTCTAGATCAACAGGCTAGATTTCATAAGGGTCGGTCGTGCACAGACCAAATTGCGACACGACGGATCATCATCGAACAGTCAATTGTATGAAACTCGTCACCATAAATCAAATTAGTCGACTATGAAGTGTTTGGCAGTGTGAACAGGAGAACATTATGGAGACTTCTTCGACACTATGGAGTTCCTGAGAAGATCGTCAACATTATCCTGAGCTCATACAACGGACTACACTGCAAAGTTGTGGATGGAGGACAGCTCACAGATGCATTTCCAGTAAGGACAGGAGTCAGACAAAGCTGTATACTCTACCCCTTCCTCTTTCTTCTGGTGGTTGACTGGATCATAAAGACGTCGACGTCAGGGGGGGGCAAGGAATACAATGGACATTTTAGAACCAAGTAGACGATTTGAACTTCGCAGATGACCTAGCCCTTCTATCCCATACACACGAACAAATACAGATAAAGAAATCTGGTGTAGCAGCAGCCTCTGCATCCGCAGGCCTCAATATACATAAAGGAAAAAGCAAGATTCTCAAATACAATTCGGAGAACACCAACCCAACCACACTTGATGGTGAAGCTTTGGAACATGTGGAAACTCTCACGTACCTGGTCAGCATCATCGATGAACAAAGAAGATCCGATGCAGATGTAAAGGCGATGATTGGCAAAGCAAGGGCGACACTCCTACAGTTGAAGAACATGTGGAACTCAAAGCAACTGTCAACTAATATTGAAGTCAGAATCTCCAATACGAACATCAAGACAGTCCTACTGTACGGAGCTGAAACGTGGAGAACTACTAGAACCATCATCAAAAAGATACATGTATTTATAAATAGTTGTCTATGCAAGATACTTGATGTCAGTTGGCTAAATACCATGAACAACGGTGTTTTATGGGAGAAAACAAACCATCAGGT